ACCATCACCATCAACATCAGCATGACCATCGTCACCAATACCATCATCATCATCATCATCATCATCATCATCATCATCATCGTCGTCGTCGTCGTCGTCGTCGTCGTCGTCGTCGTCGTCGTCATCGTCATCATCAGTATCACCATCACCACCAGCATCATTATCATCAGCATCACCATCATCGTCTTCGTTGTCGGCATCATCGTCATCGCCATCATCAAAGGAGGAGGGGGAGGAGGTGAAGAGATGTCGGCACCGTCGGAGTACTAACAAGAGCCCCATCCTCTGGATCTGGGGAATCACAAGACGGACGGGGCTTCCTCCATCTGCGGCCTCTGCGGGCCCCCGCTGGGCCCCGGGACCGCCAGAAACCTCACTCGGGATGAATAGCCAGCCTTGGGGAAAGGGTCAGGACTTCTGGAGGCCCTGTCTTTCGGCGGCGAGCCCAGGGTGGAAGTGAGAAGGGGCGGGCCTTCTGAAAAGATTCCGGACCCCCCCCCTGGAGGCACAACAGAACTTCTCCGAAGGCCAAGAGGACTCTGAGAAGCCCGGTCGCCTTCTGAGAAGGCCTGCTCCTTATCACTTCCCCCCCTCGCTTGCCGCCGACCGTTCCCTCGTCGTGTCTTCGTCCTCCGCCTCCGCTGCAAAACGAGATCGAAACGGAAGCGGTCCACGACATCGCCGACACACCGTTCAGCTCGCGCCCTGCCCCCCGATGCGAGACGGGGCCAGATGGCATCAGGCCGGAACCAGCAGCGCCATGCTCGGAGGGGGAGCTATTACCCTCGCTCGCATCGCTAGCGGGCCGTAACGCGCACGTCCCTGCGTGCGCTGCTCCTCTGGCGGCCAGATCGGCTCAGGTCTGCACCCGGGGTCCCCCGAGAGCGGGGGCAGAGCTGCCCCGTGTGGCACGAGAGGGTTCTGGAAAGGCGCCGCTGCGTCGACGGCCAAGCCTCTCGCTCGAGCCAAGGCGGTTGCACGGCGGGGTGAAGCGAGGTGGGAGCAGGAGGGCGGACAGGAAACAAAGCCAGAATATGGGGAGCATGACGGCGAAGAGAGAGGGAGGACGAGGGAAGAGAGGGGAGAAGAAAGAGAGTAAGGGAGGACGAGGGAGGGATATGATACATGACGACCACGGAAACAAAAACACTCGTGCGGGCGCCAATGCTTGCAACTCTCCAACGGAAGTGTGTTCCCTTGGATCAGACACACCGCGCGCGCCACGTTTTAACATAAAGCAATACCATTAGGTCGGGCATGTCCCCCTACAGGCGGATGTTGGACGAAACAACAACCCAAACATGCTCAAACATATTCAACAATAATCGAAACGTTGTCCCCAGACTATTTTTGGACTATGTTTGAATATTCCTCCTATAGAGGGACACGCCCGACTCAACGATACCCGGGGGACACACGATCGTCACGCGCTTCATCGCAAAGCCCTCGAGGCCCAAGAAGCCCAGGGGCAGCAAGGGCTCCCGACTTCGCGCTTCGCGCTGCGCGAAGCGCGAAGTGCGAAAAACTTTGCGCTCTCGCGCCGCCTCCCAGGGAAGCAGAAGAGGATGAGGAGGAATCGGAGCACCCTGGAGGCAGGCATTGTGCTTCTTGGCATGGGCCTCCGCTGCGCGCCTGGCCCCGGTGGACACCAGACCCAACATGGGCTCGGTGCGGGGGCCGCGGATTCGGAGAGGGGCAGCAACAGCAGCAGCAGGAGCAAGGAGAAACAGGACCGGGGAGGAGGAGGAGGAGGAGGAGGAGGAGGAGGAGGGGGAGGGGGGGGGAGGAGGAGGAGCAGGAGGAGGAGGAGGAGCGAAGAGCAGGATGAGGAAGGATGAGAAAGGGAGGGAGGAAGGAGAGTATGGGGCGTCTCCTTCGTGGTCGCCGGGTACAGCCCCAGGTCGAGCAACATGGCGCGGATCTCGCAAAGCTCCAATCCGCACTCCCCCGTGACATGGGGACCCGCGGGCCGCGGTAATGCCACCCAAGGTGTTTGAAATCCGGTGGCCAGAAATTTTGAAATTTTGGAACACACGCACTTTGAGCATTAAGACATGAAACGTTTAAAATCTTGGAGCATTGACAGTTTGAAAACGTCTACGCCAAAATAGTGAACGTCTCCAGGCTTGAGTGCCTTAGCCGAGCGGCCTTCCTGGAGCTCGCCAGGAGGACGCGCATCGACAGGGTGTTGGACCAAGGCCGTGCACGGCAACCACGAAACCGAAAATCGACCGAACCGACAGCGGAACCGAAACCGACCGAAGTCGACAGGCCGTATGCAGCCAAAAAGGGCGCAACGACAAGGCAACGAGACAATGCCCGACCGAAGCAAACCAACCAAACGCAACCGACTGCGACACAACCGAACGGACCGAACCACGAACACCCTTGTGGACCATGACGACGAGGACTCAGACGGCGACGAGGGCGAGGGCGACGCCGCGTCCGAGGGACGATGACGACGCAGACGACGGCGACGGCGACGACGACGATGGCAACGCAACATTACTCGTCATGCGGCAGCGCAAAAAGGGCGGCGAAAATACGACTCCGCTCCAATCGCCACTCGGCAACACAAGGAGGCTGGACAAAAATGCTTCCCTGGTCTACCTGTTAGGTGGGAACGCAGGGAGACGAAAGGAACATGCTCATCGATTCTACGCGTAATATGGCACAGCCGAAGGTCGGAAGAAAATACTGCTCTCATCTACTCGTGGAGTGGCAACGCAAAAGGTGTGTGAAAACATATATTCTGCTCTACCGGCCTCATGGCAGTGCAATTGAAACGGGTCCGCGCATTGGAGCTCCAAATGGCATCCAAGATGGCAGGGTGATGCCCGAGCAAACAAAACAACGAAGACAGATCAACAACTGGATCTGAACCCGCATATTCCCTTATAGAAGCATCACTATGCTGGAAACGACCCTGCCTGTTAGAACTGAAGATGTTATCCGCCGTTCCTCCGAACAGTTACGGGTGTCTCCTGTTCCCTTGAAAGAATGTGCAAACTGAGCGTGAGCCCCGTCAATCCTCCCGCCTCCTCCACCCGTGGTTCCCCTTGGTCCCGAAAACCATTGTTGGGAACTCGCGCGCGTGCCCTGGTTGAACAAACAAGTTGCACTTTAAGCTTGTGCCATCGTCACCCATCCCCTCTGCTCCTGCCTTGTCTCCCCTGGGCCCACAGAAAATCATTTGCCAAAAAATGACGCTTCCTGCTTCAAACAGCACTGAGAAGATGCAGTTGAGCGTGGGGCCCCGTGGGCCCCCCTTCCTTCTCCTCCTCCTCCTCCGCCTCCTCCTCCTCCTCCTCCTCCTGGTCCTCCGTTGACTCATTGTGGCATCGGAAAACGTCTCTCGAGCATAGTCATGCAAGCGCTCCCGAATGCTTCCTGCTGCAGCGAAGACGCAAAGACCAATTGCAGTTTCAAAGCGGATCCCCATCGCTCCTCCCCTCCCTCCCTTGCCCTCCCACACTAGACCCATAACAAAACAGCAATTCTTGAACATGTGCGGGCATCTCCTGCTTCAGAACACAACAGACAAGTCGGCTGCTGCATGAAAATGGCCGTCTTGGCACTCCCCCCGTGTTCTCCTCCATACCCCCTCACCCCACCCCCGGAACAGTATTTTTGGAATGCCATGGGCACTGGTTCATCCAAATGTCCAAAACAATCCTATATATTTTAGTTGTGGCTGCCATCCAGTCCGCCACTCGCCCTAAGGCCATGCCCAAGAAGATGATCCTGGCAAAGGGCCCATACATATGCAATTGTGAATACCGCAATTGTGAGCCCCGCCTTCGGTGGAGCTCTCTGTGGGGCCACGAGACGCGTGAGGGGGGTGCCGACATGGGTGAGGTGGCGCCATGCGAACCCTGCCACTGGGGCCTCCGGTGGGCGCCCTAGGACGCCACGAAACGCGTGAGGGGGGTGCCGACATGGGTGAGGTGGCGCCATGCGAACCCTGCCACGGTGGCCTTCGGTGGAGCCCCCTATGGGGCCACGAAACGTGTGAGGGGTGTGCCGACATGGGCGCGGTGGCGCCATGCGAACCCTGCCACTGAGGCCTTCGGTGGAGCTCCCTATGGGGCCACGAAGCGTATGAGGGGTATGACGACATGGTTGCGGTGGCGCCATTCAAACCGTGCCACGGTGGCCTTCGCTGGAACTCCCTGTGGGGCCACGAAATGTGTGAAGGTCTTCCGAAATGGGCGCGGTGGCGCCATGCGAACCGTGCCGCTGGGGCCTTCGGTGGAGCTCCCTAAAGGGCCACGAAACGTGTGAGGGGTGTGCCGAAATGGGAGCGGTGGCGCCATGCGAACCGTGCCACTGGGGCCTTCGGTGGAGCTCCCTACGGGGCCACGAAACGCTGTGCTGGGTGTGCCGAAATAGAAGCATGCGGAGGGCAGAGGCAAGGAAGGGGCGGAGGGAGGAGGGTGAGTAGCGCGGCAGGTGAGTAGAGGTGAGGAACGCGGGGCGCTGTCTCTTCAAAACGAGTGCCCTACACCAAAGGATGGTTGGGGAAAAAACATGTTTGAAACATTCGTGCGTCGGGCGTCTCTGGCTTAAAAACGCACAGAACATCTGCGGCATGTGATGCCCCCCCTCGTTTCTCCCTCCTCCAAATCCTTGGCCCACCTCTGGCCTCCATGAAGCCGGTGTTCACCATGTGCGAGGGTGTTTTGCTTGAGAAGACACCGCGAAATACTGGTTGACATAAGTACTGTTGTAAAACAGCGCTGCGGTCGGGAACTGTTGGAGATCGTGTCGCGGCGGCGGCCCCGGCGACACGTTATGCCCCGCAAGCGGATAGCACGTTGCTCCTCTCAACGGGGCGGTAGGTCGGTAAAGGCTCGGGACGTAGACGCTCGGGAATTGGAAAGTGAATAGCGTGGAGCGCTGAAGCGTGGTGGACCAGAACTGGTGGAACGACACGCATCCAGATGTTCCCGACCGTATGTCGGCCAGGCGTATCTTGACCTGGCGGGGGTCCGACAGGCCTCACGGACACCCCGTTGTCGTTGGCGTCGTACTGGGCAAACGCATTCCGCACCACCTCCTGCCGCTGGGCCAGGGGAGCAAACGTGATCAAGCGAGCACCCCCGCCCCAGTCTGACCACCTTCCTAGACAGGATCAGTCAGCATCGAATCGGGAACTCGGATCGAATCGAAGTGTGCACCGGACCGGGCTGCAGCGGCAAGGAGTCGAACTCGGACCAGATCGGCTGCGCCAGGATCCACAACAACGCCACGCAAGCATCGGGCCGAATCAGATCGTCGGCACATCGGGATCGAATCGGATCGGGCTGGCCAGAAACGGCATCGACTCGGATCAATCAGATCGCAGTGGACCCTGCAGGAGGGCTGGCCAGCATGGGGGTGGGGTTATACTCATCGTGCCCTTTGTTGCATTGCAGGTACCCTTACCTTGCAAGCGGGAGCCGAAGATCTTTGGCCCAGCCCCAGTGGGGAGGGGGCTCTGGGAGGGGTTGGAGGTGCGCTTTCTTTCCCCCATGGGCGGGCGCTCCCTCGATTCGGTTTGACCCGGACTCTGGCAGGGAACGCAGCCCCATTGCAGTCGGCAGACTGGACTGGAGCAAACTGGACAGCGTGGGACAGAGTGCAGAGGGCAAGGCAAAACTACGGTGAGGCTATTGGATGAAGGAACCCTTGGATCAGGAATCCAGGGCCTGAAGCCGGTGGAACACCCATGGATATCACCACTGCCCTCATCAGATAAGGAATTCCCCAGGGCCTGAGTTCTCCTGGGAACGCTTCCTAAGGAACGCCCCCTATCATGCTGCATCGAGTCCACGCTGCGACCACGGATCGACCACGTTCCCTCGAGGAGGAGGGGAGGGAGGAGCGGCCAGGGTCGCCGCAGGTGGTCGCAAGGGCCATGCGTTTCAATCGGTCTCGGAGGGCTCATGATCCGAGGGAGCCCCTTCACCGTCAGGGCTGCTGCTCGAGAGGAAGAGGCAAGAGGCAGGAGGCAGGATAGGTCACTGCACCGACCTTGCAGACGCGCAGCAGCGGATTTTTTGCGTGGATTCCGGCCACTGCAGAGCCCCGAAACGGCGAGTGAAAAACGGAGTGAATTTCGCGTGGATTCGTTTCAGACTCCAGTCCTGGCCGAAAAAATCCGCGCGAAATTCACCTCGAAATCCGGAACGAGAGTCTCCGGACGCTCCGGGCCCGTCCTAGCGATTTCCGAGCGAAGTCCGCTCTGCGATGTTGGCGCCATGAGATGCAGGAGGGAGGGGGAGAGCAGGAGGAAGGGGCCCTGGGACACACGAAGAAATATACACAAATAGCAAGATGTCCCATATATTTCCCCACATTTTCTAGGTCTTTGTCTTCCCCCCCACTTCCCATAGGTTCCCATCTTTTCTGGGGAATCGACGATTCATTGTGTCTGTGTGCTTCTTCTCCTCCTGAGGAGGAGGGGGGGGTGGGGGGGGGGGGGGGGGGCTTGGGCCTGGTGCCTCGGGGCCGGGCGGTGGGAGACCGCCGGGGGCAACTCCTGGCAGGACGCAGCCGCACCTGCCTGCAGGGGGGGGGGGGGGGAAGGGATGGGGGGGGGGGTGATGGCTCCGCGCCCCTCTCCGTTTCGCTCGCCTCCTCCTCCTCCTCCTCCTCTTCCTCCTCCTCCTCCTCCTCCTCCTCCTCCTCCTCCTCCTCCTCCTCCTCCTCCCCCTCCTCCTCTCTGGGGAGGGGGCCTGTTGATGGTCCCCTGCTCGTGGCTCGCCCGTGTATGCCGTTGCCTTTTTCCGGAGCGTGTGGCTCGCTAACGTCAGCTGCATCTCCGCTTGCGTCTGCATTGCCTCTGGGCTGCCTTCTGACAGTCTCTGGGCTGCCCGTGTGCCCTCCGCTTGGCTTTACGACGTCGCGCACTCGCTCGCCACGTGGCATTGTAACTGTATGTTCTGACAGGGCACACAGACAAATACACACAAATAGCAGGATTCCCAATATTTCCTAATATTTTCTTGTTTTTTGTCTTCCTCCCCACTTCCAATATTTCCCATATTTCCCTGGGAGTCGACGATTCATTGTATCTGTGTGTTTTTGTTCCCTCCTGATGTTCTCTGTGTTGCGAAGCTTTGCGTCAACTTCGGTTGACCTGCGTGAAGCTTGCCGTTGGCATCTCGCCAGCCACCCAGACACGAACCGCCTTTCTTACGCAGCTGCCCGCGCGCCTGCACTCGACGCGCGGCACGACGAGTGTCGCCACCACCTCATTCTGGCCTCTGCTTGCACCCATGGGCTGCAGAGCAATATGGACCCTCACTGGTGATTCTGATGCAACAGTCATGGCACACGCCGGGACGAATACCACCACCAACATCATCAACACCAACGATCACCGTAGTCACCGATCGTCGTAACCATCTTAATCAGCATCATCATCATCATCATCATCATCATCATCATCATCATCATCAGCATCTGAATCATCATCAGCAGCATCAGCAGCATCATCAGCATCAGCATCATCACCATCACCATCACAATCATCACCACCATCGTCGTCCATCATCATCATCGTCATCATCGTCATTCTCATCACCATCACCATCACCATGACCATCACCATCATCTTCATCACCAGCACCGTTATCATCACCCTCACCATCGTCGTCGTCATCGTCATCATCGACATCATCGCCATCATCAACATCATCATCATCATCATCATCATCATCATCATCATCATCATCATCATCATCATCATCATCATCATCATCATCATCATCATTATCATCATCATCATCATCATCATCGTACTAATCACGACCATCATCGTGATCGTCACCATAGGCGCCGTCATCCACGCCGACATCACCTCCATCACCACCACCCTCACCACCGTCACCACCGTCATCGTCATCACCATCACAATCACCATCACCATTACCACGTCGGCGGGCGCCCCGCCGGCGCCCGCCGCGGAGGCGCACGGCCGCAGGGCCCAGACCTCGTCGCCGTCGCGCCGCCGTCGTCGTCGCTGTCGATGTCGCCGCCGCCGCCGCCATCGCGGCCGTGATAACCGCCACCGTCGTGCTCCTCCTCCTCCTCCTCCTCCTCCTCCTCCTCCTCGAGCGTACCAAGGGGTCCCACGTCCTCGCGCCGCCGCGGGGCGCCGCACCTTGGTGGCGGGCGCACGGAGCGAGAGCAGGAAGCCCTCTGGCCTCCAGTGGGCGGGGGGCCTTGTCGCACTTCAGGGCGACGGGCGTAAACACAGTGCTGCTCCTCCCCCTCCTCCTCCTCCTCCTCCTCCTCCTCCTCCTCCTCCTCCTCCTCCTCCTCATCATCATCATCATCATCATCATCATCATCCTTCTCCTCCTCCTCCTCCTCTTCCTCCTCCTGCTCCTCCTCCTCCTATTCCTCTCCTCCTCCTCCTCTTTGTCGTCCTCCTCCTCCCCTTCTCCTCCTCCTCTGCCTCCTCCGCTTCTCCTCCTCCTCCTCCTCTTCCTCCTCCGCCTCCCCCTCCGCTTCCTCCTCCTCCTCCTCCTGCTCTTCCTCCTCCTCCTCCTCCTCCTCCATTTCCTCCTCCTTCCTCATGACTCCTCAGAGATGCTCGAAGATCCCCCTCCGCCTCGATCCTGCTGCCCGTCACCCTCCTCACCCTCGACCTCTACCTCCCCCCCTCCTGGACGGCCGCCGCCGCCGCCGAAGTCGCTGGCACCGCCCGTCTTCGTCGTCGCAGTCGTCGTCGTCGTCGCCGCCGTCGCCGCCGCCGCCGCCGCCATCGTCGCCATCGTGATCGGCATCGCCACCAACATCGCAAGGGCGGGTGTCCTTGTCGAGCTGTTTGCGCTTCTCTAGCAGGCGCCAGAGCCTCTGCTCGGTGAGCCATACCTGGGGGGTTCAGTGAGGGGAGCGCCAGAGAAGCGGCAGGAGAACCACGAGACGAGTAGGTGGAGGATCGAGGACGAGGGAGGGCACGCGGCGACGAGGCTTAGGAGGGAGAGATAGCAGCAGCGGCGGGCGGGCGTCGGCACGGGCTGAGGCGTCGGAAGAGGCAACGGTGGGGCGGGGAGGGGGGCGGGAGAAGGAGCCACCGTCCCCGACGTGGGGCCGTGGGGCCGCCAATGGACGGGACTACCACAGCACAGCCCGGTCTCGGCTCTCGGGTCATGACGTCATGACTCGGGTCTCAGGACTTGGACGCCCGAATTATCCGGGGTAACTCGGGTCCGGGGTAACTCGGGTTTGGATTCCCGAAAAACGAACCCGAGTTAGCCCTGACTCGAATTATCCCTGATGATTTGGGGCTCTGGACGCCCGAATTATCCGGGGTAACTCGGGTCCGGGGTAACTCGGGTTCGGATTCCCGATAAACGAACCCGAGTTAACCCTGACCCGAGTTATCCCTGATGATTCGGGGCTCTGAAGGACTCGGGCCTCTGGCGGCCCTTCGGGACGAGTCCGGCACTCCCAGAAGACGCCCTCGGCGCGGCGCAGCTGCTGGAGCGCACCCTGAGGCTGGAAAACGTCCCGGCGCGGCCGTCCGGACACCTCGAACCTCGGGTCTGCATTCTCGGGAGCGGCCAAGAGGGGGGTGTCCAAGAGGGGGGGGTGCAAATCATGACCGGCGGCATGTGCGCGGCCCAGCGGGGGGGCCAGGGACGTAAAAAAATAAGAAGAGGCGCCGCGAGATCTGGGGAAATATCATGGCCCCCGCCATGATATCCACCCCCCCCTAGTCATCACCCCCCTCTTTTCCGCCCCCGACATTCCCCCCTTGAGCCTATCACCCGCGAACGTTGCCCCGAGGTGCCCGACGGGCAACTCCAGTTCGTGGGCGGCAGGGGAAGAAACAAGACAAGGCGGACGAGAGAGGACGGGAGCTGGGCGCGAGCGCGCGCGCAAGGAGTGCCCTGCGGGGGACGAGGCAGAGACGGCCTCGACGGGCCATACCCTGGAGACAGCGGAACCGGCCCGGCAGAGCATCGCTCGTGGGGGGCCGGGCTATGCCCCGAGGATCTCGCTGCAGACGAGGTCCGCAGGTGGGGAAGGCTGCGAACGCTCTGCCGCGCAGCAGTGTGGGATGGTACGAGGCTGCCACGCCCCAGCGGGCGCAGCAGCGCAGTGGCGTAGACGACGGCAGCGTGGAGAGGGACTGCTGATAGCCCACCAACCACAGCAGGCGGCCTAAGAACAAGCATCATACCGAATGATACGATTGCACGCGAGCGAATGGGTGCACACAGGGAATATTCAGAGGCAACCTGATGGATGCTTATGCGGATGCACACGTAATGGCTGGCGATGGAAGAGCACGCGGCCACAAGTGTTATGCAGCTCTCGCCCAGGCAGGCAGCGTCCTGTGCTTCCCACCCTCTTCAGGAAAACTCGGCCGTTTCGATTCGGTCTTCGCTGGCGAGGAGAACTGTAATGCATCCTGGCCCTTCCTCCGTGCACATTTCAGACCAGGACGAGTTCCAACATCGACTTCCCCGTCGTTCGGGAGAGCCCGACCCTGGCACGGCTTACCAAGGGCAAGCCCCAGCTGCGAGAAGCCGCGCCGACAATGCCCCCTCGACTTCCTCATCGGCATTATGCTCCTCCTGCTCCTCCTGTTGCTCCTCCTCCTCCTCCTCCTCCTCCTCCTCCTCCTCCTCCTCCTCCTCCTCCTCCTCCTCCCCCCCTTCCTCGATTACGTTCGAACGTCCGTCCTCCTCCGCCTAGACCCTCCTCACCCTCGACCCCTCCGTCGCTCCCTTCTTCCTTCCCACCCTGCTGCACGGCCGCCGCCGCCGCCGTCGCCGCCACCGCCCTTCTCGTCGCCGTCTCGCCGTCGCCGCCCGCCGCCCGCCGCTGTCACCGTCGTCGCCGTCGCGCCTCCGCCGCTCGCCGTCGCCGCCGCCGCCGTCACCGTCGTCGCCGTCGCGCCTCCGCCGCTCGCCGTCGCCGCCGCCGCCGCCGCTCGTTCGTCGCCGCCGCCGCCGCGCCCGCCGCCGCCCGCCCGCCCCGCCCCGTCGCCGCTCTCGGCGCCGCCGCCGCCCGCCGGGCGCCGCCGCCGCCCGCCGGGCGCCGCCGCCGCCCGTCGTCGCCGCCGCCGCCGCCGCCGGGAGGGCGAAGAGAGGCGCGCCCCCTCGCTGGCGTTCTCGGGCCGCGCCGGGAGCCCCGGCAGGCAGCCCTCCACGAGGGCCCCGCGCGGCTTCGCGAGGCCTCGGCCGCCCGAGGGCCGAGGCGGCGCCGGCGGCGGCAGCGGCGGCGACGGCGACGGCGGCAGTGGCGACGGCGACGGCGACGGCGACGGCGACGGCGACGGCGACGGCGACGGCGACGGCGACGGCGACGGCGACGGCGACGACGACGACGACGACGACGACGACGACGACGACGACGACGACGACGACGACGACGACGACGACGACCCTCGACCTGCACCTGCCACACCTTCCGCGCGGAAGGCGCCGCTTCGCGACGCGGCCGCGGAGGCCGAAGCGCAGCTTCGCGGTGCCTCGGCCGCCTGCAGGCCGAGGCGGCGCCGACGGCGGCGGCGACGAGCGTCGGCGGCTCAGAGGAAAGGGCCCCGGGGATGGGGTCCTTCGGCCTAAGACCTAGATTTAGGAACAAGGAAGGGCGACACCAACACCCAGAGGGCGAGGAGATGCGAGGAGGCAAGAGGGAACTCCCTGGTGGTGTGGTCCCCCCTCTCGCTCGAGACATCCGCAGCCTCCAGCTCGGAGAGGCATCGCGGACCTCTTCGATGGCGGTGGGCCCCCTGGTGGTGTTGGTATCGCTTCTCCTCCCAGATTTGAACGCTCGAATCATGTTGCTCCCATCGTACTTCAGGACCACATCCCAGAAATAATTGGAGCACTCAGGAAAGTATCGAAAACAAGTGTCGAACGAGTATCGCCTCCCAGGGCCCGGACACGTGACAACCCTCCAATTTCGGTACTGTCTTGATTATCAAGATCACGTCTGGTGGTTACGGCTGAAGTAGGATGGAACATCATAATGCTCGACATGGGTACGGAACAATTCCGCACGATGCCCAACAACGCATGTTGTCCAACACCGACAGCGGCCGCTGTTGGGCAGGCGGCTTTTTGTCTCCAGTCGGCAACGTCCGCGGCGGCGTGGACAGCGAGTCTGAACAGAAGCTGGTGTCGGTCTTTGTGCCCATCCTTTCCGTACCTACTTCGATCGTCTCGACCAGAAAGATCTGAGGGTATGATTTGTTCAGTCTGGCGTTGTTTCCTGGATTTCGGCCTCCGGGGCCCAGCATCGGGACCAAGGACCATCAAAAATGAGCCCGGGATGGAAAAAACACCCCGTGGGGAAGGGGCTGGGACCTCTGGGGCCGCGGATTGAGCACATCACACGAGCGGATGTCTGGGGACAGTGAAGGCTCAGTTTGGCACCCTGAGATCCGACCACTTCAAAGAAATTCAAAATGGCAAAAAATCACGACCAGAGTACGGGACCCCATCTTTATGCGCTCTCTTTCGAGCTATTCCTGGGCCTCGGGGCCGTCAAGAAACGACTCAGGATAAAAATCCCGTCCCGGGGAAGGGTTCGAGACCTCCAGTGCTGAAAAATCAGGACGTCGCATGTCGGGGGCTTGGACTTCTGAAATCTGGGGCAACTTCCCGGAAGTTCCTTTGGACGGACCTGGGCAAATGCCTGCAGGAAACGCGGGAAGGGCGTACGTGCTCAAGAAACCGGGCCAGCCTTCCAGAATTGGTCCAGAAACGCCCGCCCACCTTTTCGCGAGGCAGCTTCTCAATCAGATGCTCGACGGCATCGTTCCCGTGCATGTGATGCTCGTGGTGCCTCGTGCTGCACCCCCGGACACTCCCTGCATGGGAATGCTCCCGTCCGGGCTTTCAAGGGCCGGCCCTGCGTGCCGCGCGTGCTCCGATGGCTGCTGCTGGGTCCTGCATGGCTGCCCCCGGAAACACTGGACCCGACAACTTGGCCTCTTTTGGGGCACTGGTCCTGCTTCTACGAGGCGGGGATTTATCCATATCCACCGCCTGGGAACCGACGTCCTGGTGCCCCAGCGGCCCGAATATGTCTATATCCCTCGCCTGCCGAGGCTGCGAAAACTGACCCTCCAGGCGGTGGATATGGATAAATTCCCGCCTCGGAGCTTCCGCCTCAGCATGGGGGAAGCGGGTCCTGAACCCTGCAACCCCCCCAAGACCCATATTTCATCCTGAGCCGTTTTCCGATGGTCCCGGGGCCTGTGGAGGGCCACGGGAAGTCAAAACTGGCGGAAAACCTCAGGATCCGTTCCCCTCAGGACCCGTTTCCCCCATTGCGACCGGTTTGGCATCCACTGGCTTCCGCCGAGCTTCCACTGGCTTCCGCCGGCGGAGGCGGCCCAATCTTCCTTCCGCCAGCTCGCGTCGGCCTCCCGCCGAAGGCGAGCTGTGCCGAAGGCGGAGCTCGTTCTGGGACGCGCCGCGTTGAGGTGGCCTCCCTGCATACGGCTTCCCGCCCCCGCTGGGCCACATTGCCGCACTCTCTTGTGTGGCCGCCTGGCCTCTTGGAGCCGCGCACCGAAGCCTTCCCCTCGCCGACTGGACTCCCCCGTGGCTTCCCGCCCGAGTGTAGGGGAACGAAACATATTATAACATAAAAACTCGGAGGGCCGCGCGGACTTCTCGGATCGGCGCTGGACCCCCTCCCTGGCGCGCGGAGCGCGCCAGGGGCGGCGCCGGAGGCGCCGCCAGGGGGGTCCAGCGCGAATCCAAGAAATCCGCGCGGAACTCCGAGTTGTATGTTTATGTCATTCTTCGTTCCCCTACTCCTCCCTGAGAGGTCCTGGCATTGCAATGTTTTCACAACGGGCGCTCTCGCTCAATTTTGGGCCCCGGGACCCTCACAGATCGGTCCGGCCCGAAAAATTATGCAGAAAGATTGGGTCTGGGGCTTTCGTCGCGATTTTTCGCCATGTTGCAATTTTTGAGCAACGTCGGATCTCAGGGCTATGCAAGAGGGACCTTTAGTGCGCGGACTGAGGGGGTGCAAGGTGGCCCAATCCAGGCGCGCAAGCAGCCGCTATCGCATCGAGCTCAGCGATCGGGGGGGCCCTGGTGAGCCCGCACCAAAGGTCACTCCGGCGAAGGGTCACTCTTTCGCGCAGTCGACTGCGGCATGGATTCCCGCCCCACCGGCTGCGGGTGTCACACGTCCTCGTTCTCGCGCTCCCCGACGCTCTCGAGCTGAGCTCCGCAGACATGGGGCTCCACAGTTTGTGCAACTATACACACACACACGGCATCCCACGATGTAGCTGCACGGATCGACGGCCTGGTGTCCACTACAGTTCTACGGATCAACTCTTCACTTGTACGATTCCCTGTCTTCCTCTTTTCCGCATTACTCTCATTAGGTCGTCGTCTTCTTCTTCTTCTTCCTATTCCCTTCCCACGCTGTCCTCCTCCCCTCTCGCTAACCGCGCCTGGTTGATCGACTGGGCGCGGCCGTGGACCCTGGATGTCAATGTTGCCCTCTCCTCCAGGGACCTTCTTCGGCCGGCAAGCTGCCCCAACCTAGCCGCCGACGAGAAAGGCCGCGCAGCAGCGAACCAGATCAAACCCTCTCTCTACCCGCAGACCCCGGACGCCACCATTTTTCCATGGCCTGGACACAGAAGAAGAACAACACACAAAAACATAAACTTTTGGCGCTCCGCGCGGATTTCTTGGATTCGCGCTTGACCCCCCTCCCTGGCGGAGCGCGCCAGGGAAGGCGCTGGAAGCGCCGCCAGGGGGCCCAGGCGCGGATCCATGAAATCCGCGCGCAGCGACAATTCGAGGACACCAAGACATCTCGACCCCTTGCCTGGGACTGTCTTGTCATCCTGAGTCGTTTCTTGACGGTCCCGGGGCCCTGCGAGGGCCCACAGAGGCAAAAACTTACCAGAATCTTCTCGTGACCGAAGAAGGTTTGGGGAAACCAAAATGTACCGATGCCGCCACCCCCTGGACCTCTCCCGCGGGGCGTTCTGCCCAGAATTTCGAGGCGAAGCCAGCGGTGGCGACGACGGCCTCCCAGGAGGCCCAAGAAGGGGAAAACGAGCAAAGGGTAGCAGTAGAGGTACCTTTTTCCTCCCAAGAGACGGCGCGCGGGGCCCAGGGGCCGAGCTCTTCCGCAGCTGGACGGCCAGCACGCTGATGCGGTTCATCCGCACCTCCCGCCGGCTCTCACAGGCCTTCGGCGGCGGTGGTCGCTGGCGGCCGCCGCTCGATCCCCTCCTCCGCCGCGTCCCCCTCCTCCTCCTCCTCCTCCTCCTCCTCCTCCTCCTGCACTTCCTCCTCCTCCTCCTCCTTCTACTCCTCCTCCTCCTCCTCCTCCTCCTCCTCCTCCCTCCCTCCCTCCCTCCTCCCTCCCTCCCTCCCTCCTCCCTCCCCCCTCCCTCCCTCCCTCCTCTTCCTCCTCCTCCTCCTCCTCCTCTTCCTCCTCCTCCTCTTCCTCCTCCTCCTCTTCCTCCTCCTCCTTCGAGCCGTGGTCTATAGGCCACCCAGCCCAGTTCGCGCACTACGCCCCGCGATGCGCGACCTGCAGCTATCTCCTCGCTCTTGCGCCTCCTTGCTGGAGAAGGGCAGCCCTCTCCAGCCCTGGCGGCGATGCGCGAAACGCGGTTCTCTTCTCGTTCCCCGCGGGTGACCCAGGTACGGCCGGACCTAGGACAGAATAACCTCCTTCAAGAACATGAGACCCTCCGCCGACCAAACGGAAGAACATTCGAGGGCACCCCTCCCCCATGGTGCACAAGAACATGCGACAAGCACGAAGAACACCAGCGCACCCTCCCCGAACCGACCTCGATCTGATGCCTCGGCCCGACCGTATCTGGGGGGGGGGGGGGGCGTCTTGGGGGGGCTTTTCGGGCTTTCTGGGGCCGCCAGTGGCTGCCACAGTGGGGCCTGCGTGGACTCTCCTGGCCAGCCTGGGCCTGCCCAGGGCTCTCTCGCGGGCCGTCCCGGGGCCCTCGCGGAGACCTCTTGAGCTGCCCTGGGGCCTACGCGGGGGCCTTCCTGGCCAGCCAGGACCTGCCTGGGGCTCTCGTGGGCCGTCTTGGGGCCCCCGCGGGGATCCCTTGAACTGCCTTGGGGCCTGCGCGGGGGCCTTCCTGGCCAGCCAGGACCTGCCTGGGGCTCTCGTGGGCCGTCTTGGGGCCCTCGCGGGGATCTCTTGCGCTGCCTCTGGGGTGCTCTATGTATATGCGCCACGGCGCCCTGCTCCTCGCCAGCCCCCCTCCCCATCGCCCTGGTAGGGCGAAACATCAGCGCTCACGCTTGCGTCTTGCGCGGGCCAAGCGCTCACCTGGACCTCGCTAGAGGAGCGCGCGCGTGCAGGAATCGCCGCCGTCGGGGGGCCACGGGGGGGGGTCGTGCGGAGCGCCGCGCCGCGCAGACCGAGCTCTTAATTGCCCGCGCCCCCTCTGCCTCTCCTCGCCCCTCTGCCTCCCCTCTCTGCTCCGCAACCCTCCCTCCACCTTCCCGCCCCCATCTCAGCCCCCCTCTTCTCCTCCCCTCCCCGTGTATGTAAGTTGAGTCGAACCTACAAGGTTTGCCGTAGGTAGAGGAAGGTAAGGGAGAGGGTAGCGATCCCTTTTTCCCATGCGCCGCGGGCAGGCGGCGCTGTACCTGTCTCCAGTACCTGAGCCGAGACGGCAGCAGCAGATATAGATATCACACACGAGAAAACCCAATCCATGGATGACTTGAAAAATTGTCATATGGATACTGGGATCGATTGTGAGATCGACAATGAGATCGATAGTGTAATCGATAGAGGACGATTGAAAGGTCGATCGTGAGACCGAGCGTGAAATCGATTCAATGAAACCAATAGGGAGATCGATCGCGAGATCGCTCGGGCGATCTCTAGTGAGATCGCTTGCGAGATCGATTGTGAGATCGATTGTGAGATCGATGGTGAGATCGATTGTGAGGTGGATGATGAGATCGACGGTGAGACCGATCGATAACAAGATCGACCAAGCACCCGGGAACCTGGGAACCTCGCCGCCCACCGAAATCGGCCTGGGAACCGGGAACCGGGGAACCCGGAACCAGGAACCCTGGAACCCAGCGTGCGACCAGAATCGGCGGGAAACTTTCGTCGAATCCTTCAACCTCCAGCAAAGGGACCCCCTCCGTGCAAGCACTGATTGGGGGAATCCTGATGATATGAGCGGACTTCACACACACACACGCACACGCACACACACACACACAAACACACACACACACAAACACACACACACACGCACACACACACACACACACACACACACTCCCCGCCCCCTCCACCCCATCTCGGCCTCCCCCCTCCGCTCGGCCCCCACACTGCACCCTCGACATCCCGCGCCGCGGACAAGGCCCCGACCGGCGGCCTCGGCCCCGAAGTGGTCGAGGGGGCCCGAGAGGGGAAGGGCCACGTGCGCCAGAACTGGGCAAGAGACGCCCGTCGCAACTGCGACGGGGGCATTGGATGGGGGCTGAACCTAAACGGTGTTGTTCGTTTTCGTTTCGTTCTCGTTTTCCCTCGCTTTTGCCCCGATTCCGCCTTTACCTCAAAACGAAGTCGAAACGAAAACACCGTTTAGGTCCAGCCCTGCATTGGATGAGGAGCCCTCCGCTGAGGAGCCCCAAACCCTGGAAGCAGGTGGACGTCCAATCGTGGATTGGCCATGGGCATCACCGCCGCCCTCCCTTCGCGGACGCCCCCGCCGCACTGCTCGAGGCGGTGCCCGGAGGTCGGGCCCACCCATGCCGACGAGGGGCGCGAGTCGGCTCCGGGCCAGCGCCGCAACTGGCCACAGGTGTCCCTCTCCCCCGTCGATCCGCAGGCCCTGTCGCGTTGCGACACTCGCCCGACGGGAAGCTGTTGTTCGCTACCGTCGGCCTCCGGAGATCCTTCTTGGGCCTCGGGACCGTCAAAAAGCAGTTTTTGGTCGGCGGGGCGAGAGCGAACCTCTTCCGCTAAAAGCTAGGCGGGCTACGCACAGCTTTAATTAGGGAGACAGGGCACATGAGGGCGGGGCCACAGGCGGCTGGAGCGGGCGGAGCCCGGGGTGCAGGCGGTGCCGAAGAGCTTGCACAAGAAAAAGTACGCCGCGGACAGGGACCGGAGGCGAAGATCCGGAGGGCGAGCGATGTGGTGTTGCCGTCAACGGCACGCCGCGAACACGACCGTCAAAAAACAGCTCGGGATGAAAAACCGGTTTCGGGGAGGGGTCCAGCCCTCTGGGGGTCGACGCCGTGGAAAAGTCACGGCGTCGGGACGCTGGGTCTTCCCCTCTCCACTTCATCCATACCGACCCCCCGCCCCCCTCCGTGGACATTCGGCGGGTTGGCTGCGTTCCATCCTGGGCGTTCTTTCACTTGCGGCCTCGAGACGTCGTCTTCTTCGGGGCCCCGCGCAATCAGAAAACTACTCGAGACGAGAAGACGGCTCAAGGGAAGGGAGTCAAAAGCTGCGGAGCCCACGTCCACTGAGAAGCCACGGGCTAGCTTGGCATATTTCTCCTCGGCGGCAAGCGAGGAGGGGGTAAAGTGAGAAGGAAGGAGGCCCTCTCAAAAGGCGGCGGGGCTTCCCAGAAGCCCTCCAGCCTCCACTCGGGCCTCCTGAAAGGTCCCGCCTGTCTTGGAACACCTCTGGGAAAGCCCGAGGACGTCCGCGCCGTCCGAGAAGGGTTCGTCCCCTCTCGCTTCCACCCTGGGCTCGCCGCGGATCGAGAGTGCTGCCCCTCTGAGAAGCCACGGGCCAGCTCAGGAGGAGGAGGATGAGGAGGAGGAGGAGGAGGAGGAGGAAGATGAGGAGGATGAGGAGGACGAGGAGGAGTAGGGTCTGAGTAGAAGGAGGAGGAGGAGGACGAGGAGGAGGAGGAGGAGGGAGGAGAGGAGGAGGAGGGAGGAGGGAGGAAGGAGGGGAGGAGGGAGGAGCAGGAGGAGGAGGAGGAGCAGGAGGAGGAGGAGGACGACGAAAACGACCACGAAGACGAAGGCGAAGACGACGACAACGATGACCAGCTCGGCATGCTTTTTGTCAAAACGGGGGGAGCGGCCGGCGCGGCCGCCGCGCCAGGCCACACAGCCGCAGGGGCGGATAGCTGCCGCCTGCCCGCGAGAAGCACCGCGGCCCCGCCGGCGGCCGCCAGCCCGGCGCGCGCGAAGGCGGCGGCGGGGCCCGACGCCTCTCACCGGACCCTCCTCCTCCTCCTCCTCCTCCTCCTTCTCCACTTTCTCCTCCTCCTCCTCCTCCTCCTCCTCCTCTCCTCCTCCTCCTCCTCCCCTCCTCCTCCTGCCTGTCTCCTCCTCCTCCTCCTCGTCCTCCTCCTCCTCCTCCTCCTCCTCCTCCCTCCTCCCTCCTCCCTCCTCCCTCCTCCCTCCTCCCTCCTCCCTCCTCCCTCCTCCCTCCCCCCTCCCCTCCTACCTCCTACCTCCTCCTTCTCTCCTCTCCTGGCCTGCCTCCTCCTCCTCCTCCTCCTCCTCCTCCTCCTCCTCCTCCACCGCGGGGCGGAACTTCCCATCGTTCGGGCGTCCAACCCCCCGTGCATGTTTCGGCCTTCGTGCGCGTAAGCTTCTTGCGCGGTGATCCCGGATGCTCCTCGATGGCCTTCGCCGAGGAAGCGGGCACACGTCCGAGCGATGCCGAGAGAGCAGTATATAGGGGGCGCAGGCGCCGCCCGGGGGGTCCAGCGTCGATCCGAGAAATCCGCGCGGACCTCCGAGTGATTATGTTGATGTCAGTACTCATTCCCCTATTCTTCGCCCCCTAAGCCTAGGTCGGGCATGTCCCCCTACAGGCTGATGATCGAAGACTAAATAAAATAGCTTACACTGTAAACAGATAGTTCAAAACATCGCCCCCATAGTATTTCAAACCTACTTATGAATATTCCTCCTGTAGAGGGACACGCCCGACTCAACCCTATCCTTCGCCCCCGAAGCCTCGTAGGTGGCCCCCAGCGCCAGGGGCGCCGCCACCCGGGCAACCGCGGTCAGCGCGGAGTCCAGCCCCAGCACCAGCCCGCGCCGCCCGCGCGGCGCGCGCAGCGCGAGCAGGGAAGGGGCGGAGGGCGTGTAGAGGGGGAAGTCGGCTACGCGCAGGAGGGACCCTCTTAGTAGGGGAACGAAGGCGAGCGTTTTCTTATTCGGCGTTTCGACATTGTGCGGAAAAGGGGGGGGGAGGGGGGGGGAT